GGTTGAGCTGTTGTTCAGCATCTTAGCTGTGGAGGGCAGTGTCACTGGCCCTCATATGTGGGATCCGAACCGGGGCCCTCTGGCGTCCCAAGCGAGTTCTTAACCATCGCGCCACTCGGCCAGCCCAACATGGTGGTACTTTTATGGCCTGGTGGTAGTAGCTGAGAGGGGCTCATGGAGATTGTTAGTAAAGGTTAAAAATGAAACTTTTTCTCATTCTCGGCCTTTTCAGGCAAAACGTTCTCAAAATAGAAGTGGCCACAGGGCCGAGATCAAACGGAATTTACTCCCAGTACAGCATAGGTTCAGGGTAGGCCTCAAGGCCGTGGCTGGAGGGACGTTTGTGATAACCTTGAAAAAGGTAAAGGCTGGACATAGAGATGTGGTCTTCCAGAAATAAGGCTCCTGTGACTCTCAGTGACTTCACTGCACCCTAACTTTCAGCTCAGAAGTGAAGAACCTGTCCCTGAAAGATGGGCGACTTTTGTCTAATAGAGTTGATCATCATTTACACCAGGAAGAAGCCTGCAGTGTTTTTAAAGAAATTATATAAAATTGGACTGAGGTAGACGGAACAGTACAAAATGCCGAGAGAGGCCTTTGAATGCCCAACGTCCTACAGGTAGAACCTAGATGAGCAGGTTAACTGGGTGCAAACTCAGGTCTTTTTTTTTTTTTTTTTAAATGAAGACAAAGGGAACTGGAGCCAACAGGAGTGTTTTAGACAACATGAGTTTTTATGCCAGTTTCGGCAACTTTAGAGTCACTGAGGAGGATGAAAGTGCCAATATTTATTTGAGGGTTTCCAGAATGCCTTGTTTATGTAATCAGTCCAATTCATTTTAATTTAATAACTATAGCTTACTCAATTGACTTCTTACCCTATATTTCCAGATGACAATACAGAACATATGATTGTGTAAGTGCCATATGCTTATCATATCTCTGGGGACACCCTCACCCCCATGTAATTAAAGGGTTCCATGGGACTGATTTAACCTGGGGGCTTCAAAGGAAAATGTGTGATTGGGAGCTATTCTATTAAAATTAGTAGGGTTTTATTATAATTAGTAGACTCAATCTTTTTCAAGAGAGAGTCGAGACCAACTCCTTCATTGGACTTCGGACTAATAAACCTTTTGGGACTCAAAGGAGACCATTTCTTTCACTGATCATGGGGCCTCACTGATCACCCTTACTGACCAGCGTCTGGGCTCCTCTTCTGTCTGGTCATATCTGAGACCACTGAGTATATTCTCCTCTTGGTATAGTTTTTAGTTTTCCCTTGTTCATGGCACATTGAAATATTAGTTCACTCTGTCTTGTTGATACAGCTATGAAAAATATATGTATAGCTAACATGCCTGCTTACAATAAGAAATATATCTCCATAGATCAATGCCCTCCCACTTCTGAAAATTAAATAACACATAACATAGACAATTGGACCAATCTTTCCTTTGAGTGAACAACATGTTTTGGAACACTCCATAGAAACTGCCCTCTTTTGAGCAGCATGATGAATGGATTGAATTTTATAGATTAAAATTGTTGCAGTTGACAGTTACTTTCATTTGCTGCTTGTTTTATTGCTGGGTGATGCCCTAATTATGCATTACTGGATGCAAAGGCCAGTTAACTTAAAATAGATCATTCCGCACATGTGAACTACACCCATAGGCCATGTGAAAAAGCAAAAAAAAAAATAAATAAAGACCTGAACAATGAGTTTAATGCTTGAAGTTTATTTTGAAGAGAGAAACAAGAAAAGGTACAAGGCTGAAAATATAAATGCTTTTCCAGGTCATCAAGGGGAACCTCGCACTGCTTGGGTCACAGTCTGCAAAGCTCAGCGACAGCAAAGGTTGTATATGATGCCATTAAAGAAACATCTCCCATAGTAATACTCAGATGAAAGGCAGGTCGGGAATCTGCAGTAGCAGACACTTACTCTCTGAAGGCCTGCGGAAGGAAGAGGAGAGTCAGGCAGAGTGGGGAGGAGAGCAGCAGGACAGGCAGAGCTGCCTCACGGACACCTTCTAGAGGCCACAGGTCGTCTGACAGGTGGCAATGTAGCCATGTCAGGGTGGAAAGGACCCACGTTTTGGTCGTAAATCACAAGAAATCTTACTGGCCATTGGTTGGGCTTGCAGGGTCATAATTTTTCTCTGATCCTGGTTTATCATGTACATGCTTATTTCCTGCACCCACACCAACAACCCACCTCTCAAACTCAGGGCTACCTACTCCTCACCCCACCTCATCCACACACCCAACTCTGACCCACACTCCAGACCCCTCTAACAAGCCCCTCAAATGGGCTGCAGACCCCAACAGCACGTTGGCTGGTCTCTCACCTGAGGCGTCTCGAGCGAGGCGGTCATCTCCTCCAAAGGAGATGGCCATGTCCTGGCCTGTGGCTCCAGGCTGTTCCTGGTCCTCAGCCTCGGGCAGGTCTTGGGCGGGAGCCTGGTCAACTGTCTCTCGGAGGAGCCCGGCCTGGGCCTGGAGGGCCAAGAGGAGAAGGGCAGCGAGGAGGGCGAGGGTCCTCATGGCTGAGAGTCACCTGGAGGTCAAGGTCTGGTGGAGAGCAGGCGCTGGGTGATTGGGGGGTACAGGGAGTCAGCCCGTATTTATAGAAGGACTGGAGGAGAGGGCACTGCCCTCAGTGTGTGAGTAGGTGAGGGCGGGTGGCCTGTCCCAGATCCCCCTGTTGCCCGGATTCACTTTGATGTTCCTCTGATGTAGCTGCTCCCTTCTCATAGCGTGCGTGTGTTTGCTTGGTGTCGTGTTTGTTCTTTGTATGTGATGATTGATGCCCATTAGGAACATGATAAGCTTCCCTGTTTCTCATCTGCATGAATATTTACTAGTGAAAATGTATAACTGTTTGTCCTAGGGCATCTAAGACATGAAGAGATGCTTGTAAAACTACTAAAAAAGTGGTTAACAAAGAGTGATAATCAGATGGGCATGAAATTTCTCACTTGCAACACTGGAAACCAGATAACATTTTTCACCTTTGAGGGCAAATAACTTAAATGTAGAGTTCTATGTTTAGGTAATATATAATTCACATTTGTAGGAACAAATGGTGTGCATTTGGATGTTCACAGATGCAGGAAATTTGCTATATATGAATCCATTTTGAAAAATGTTGCTCAAGGACACACTCCAATAAAATAAAAAAGGAATCCAAATGAGAAGACATGAGAGTAAGAGAGAGGCTTTTAAAAAAGACTAAATACAAAATATTTATAGTTTTAAAAATATTTTTCCACGAATGGTCGATAAGAGTCATTGAGGAACGTTTTTTCAGGTTTTAACCTTTCCCCTTGGAATTGCCATGAGCTTGATCACCCAGGGTCCTTGCTTATTGGAGAAAATTTTTCTTCAGCCTTTCTTCATTCTTCCCCAGTTCAAAATTAATTGTGTGAGTGGAATTCTGGAAAAAGATATGGATGGTTTCAAAATTCACCGTGTGGGCCCCGGTGGCACAGGCAGAGCTTAGCTTTCCCGTGAAGCAGAACGTGCTGGGAGCCCATTTGTCTCCTGGCTTCCAGGACCCACACAACCAGGTAGCTGCTCAGCCTGGCACACTGGGTGCCCCTGCCGCTGAGTCTCCTTTTGCCTCTACTTCCTTCTGGGAGAACTGTTTCTAGAAAATTCTACTGACAATGGAAAATTATTGTAGTTTTCAGGTGTGTTTTTGTATAATTATTTATAAAAAAATCTTTCTTTTGTACTTTATTTTTACTCTATCAGGTTATCCGTTATCTATTATCATCTTGACTTCTTATTGCATAAGTGTCATATGCTTATCATATCTTTGGGGACACCTTCACCCCATGTTAATTAAAGAGTTCTGTGGGACCGATGTAACCCCAGGGCTTCGGAGGAAGATGTGTGATTGGGAACTACTCATGAAGAGCACTGCCACACTGTGGGAAACGGGGTGGGGTTTCCATGAGAAGGAGGGTGTTAGGATCATACGATCATGGAGCTCACAGTGATTATTACAGGTGCTAATACAAAGAAGTGTCTTCCTGAGAGTCAAGTCAAATTTAATAAAAGCAGAGCTCAACAATTAGTTAGACAGACAGATGAATCGACAATAAATAAA